GAACCCCGCTGCCAACGTGTGGGATCGCCCGCCCGGTGTCGGCCTGATCCGCGGCGGCTCGGGTTCCACGGGCAGTTCGTCGCTCGTGGTGACACCGACCTGCGCCAAGAGCACCTGGTGTGTTCTGGCCTAGCGCACACACAAAATGTGAAAAACCGTACTGCCTTGGGTCTGACATCTGGAGCTGCTGCCAGCTGGGCAGCAGTTTCTGAACGAGCTCCATGTAGTGCACGTGGGCAGCTGCGCTAAGAGGGTGATTAAGCAGAAATGAGACTACGAAGTGCCTTTGAATTCATAGAATCACAGAATGGTAGGGGTCGGAAGGGACCTCTGTGGGTCATCGAGTCCAAAACCTCTGCCGAAGCAGGGTCACCTACAGCAGGCTGCACAGGACCTTGTCCAGCCGGGTCTTGAATATCTCCAGAGAAGGAGACTCCACAACCTCCCTGGGCAGCCTGTTCTAGTGCTCCGTCACCCTCAGAGGGAAGAAGTTCTTCCTCATGTTCAGCTGGAACTTCCTCTGCTTCAGTTTGTGCCCGTTGCCCCTTTTCCTGTCACCGGGCACCACTGAAAAGAGTCTGGCCCCATCCTCCTGACATCCACCCTTAAGATATTATAAAATCTCCTCTCAGCCTTCTCTTCTTCAGGCTGAACGAGCCCAGCTCCCTCAGCCTTTCCTCATAGGAGAGATGCTCCAGTCCCCTCATCATCTCCATCTACACTGGACTCTCTCCAGTAGCTCCTCATCTTTCTTGAACTGGGTAGCCCAGAACAGGATGCAGTACTCTGGATTGGGCGTCACTAGGGCAGAGTAGAGGAGAACCTCCCTCGACCTGCTGCCCACACTCCTCTTGATGCACCCCAGGATCCCATTGACCTTCCTGGCAACCAGGGCACGCTGCTGGCTCATGGTTAACCTGTCATCCACCAGAATTCATAGATTCATAGAATCACAGAATGCTTTGGGTTGGAAGGGACCTTTAGAGAACATCTAGCCCAACCCCTCAGCAGTGAGCAGGGACATCTTCAACTAGACCAGGTTGCTCAGAGCCCCATCCAACCTGGCCTTGAATGTTTCCAATGATGGGGCCTCCGCTGCCTCTCTGGGCAACCTGTGCCAGTGTTTCACCACCCTCATTGTAGACAAATTTCTTGTAGGCTCCCTTTCAGTACTGAAAGGCCACAATAAGGTCTCCCCGGAGCCTTCTCTTCTGCAGGCTGAACAGCCCCAACTCTATGTCTTTCCTCACAGGAGAGGTGCTCCAGCCCCCTGATCGTCTTCATGGCCCTGGTAGTCTTGGTTCAAGTTTGCCTCTTGAGAGGTCAGTTTGCTCAATGCTGAATAGAATGTGGTTCATATCACAAAATAGTTACATATCTGTCACACATAAGCATAGCTAGAAGGTAATTCAGCAGTGCATTTCATAACAAGCAAGATTTTGAAGACAGTAAGTAGGCTGTAACAACCAATAAACAAGGATTTGCAGCACCATGTCTGGGACAGTTCAGGTCGTCTGTCAAGTGTATCAGTTAAATTCTAACCAGGATCCTTAAAAATAAAGATTTGAAGGAGCTGGAGCTATGCCTTACCAAAAGTTGACCTTCTGTGCTTGGAGCACTGTTGATGCCATCCTCAGGGAAAACTGGTGGTCCAGTGGACAGGTTACTCCAGGCTGACGATGTCAGGCCCTTAACAGAGGAACATCTGCATCACATCCCGTCTCTGCAGACGATTTGCGATAAATGTGCTTTCAGGATGGTGCGGTAGCCATGCCAGAATGGACAGTACAATTAATTTTAAAATGGTACAGAACAGGCGTGTAAAGAGCAGCTCCAAAATTAAATGCTGGCTCTGTAAAGAAAATACAGGCTCTGCAAAAGAAGAAAGAGATTAGCAAGGCTATGTATTGTCGTGTATTGTGTCTTGAACAAATCCTACTATTTTTCTGTTTTCCTACAAGAGAATCCACCCTTTAAAAAGACACTTCACAAGATTAAATTCATGGAAGTGGGAGAAGCAAGGCCTTGCAGGCATGCTTGCAGTCCTTAACCTGTGATTCTCAGTGTTCTGTTCTCCTGAAGCTCTGACTGCTCTCCAGGAGCTCCTTTCTCTTCCCATCTCTTGTCATCTTTGCCTTTAAGTTCCGGTCTAGGTTCTACAGGTTAGGCATCAGGCTTGTAAAAAGCCCTTCATATAGTTACTGTCACAGTAATAGTCTTACTCGGGCATATTTGCCCACCTGAAGGGGCTGATGATTGCTGAGGGTCAGAAGGGTAAGGCTCTGGAACAGCCCAATGACGGCTGTGGAAGCAAAATACCCACATAGCTATTGGGCTTGATCAGCATTTGTGAAATTATAAAAAAAAATGTATTAAATATATGCCTAAAGGGGAAATGGACTTGATGGCACGTGAGATCCCCTTGTCCTGTTTTTTCACAGTGAATTGATGGTGGTCAGCCTCTGTTTATACCTCCTAAAATGTTGGAAGCAGGATAAAATCTGGTCCTCTTTTCAGTGCTGCTGTTCTAAGTTTGACTTCCCTGCCTTGTCAAGGGCACGCCATGAAAGGGAGAATGAACAAAACCCATTTGCTCATGTTAAGCACTCTGGCCCTGGTGGAAAAAAGCACTTCAACAATCTTTGTACTCTC